TTGAGATGCTTGAGAATAAGTATGAGTTGATTTATAAACAAACTAATTAAAAATCGGTTATATAGCATTCAAAACCAATAATTTTATGCATTTTAAACCGGATATAGCACTGAAAACCGGTTTTCTTTTTTTTTCCCAAGATCTTGAAATGTTGATTAGCCTTTTGATAAGAAATGAAAATTATTGGCAACCCATTAAACCTGTGAAACTTTCATAATTCAAAAAAATGGGTTAGTAATCTTTTTGACGTTGATATTACCAACCATAAAACATAGTTAATTAGCCTTTTGATTAGAAATGAAAACTATTGGCAACTTATTAAACCTGTGAAACTTTCAAAATTTGAAGATTAAAATTGATTAGAAATGAAAATTGATCAAATCTTATTTTGTCGACCTTATTGCATCATTTTTAGAAACCAATTAGTTGAAAGTGGCACTTTCAACCAACCTCAGAAAAAAATACAACTCAAGAAATTGATCATCTTCTTTAGATTCAGAAACCTTTCAATATAAGCAATAGTGACAAAATTAAATGACAATCCTTTGAATAACAAAAAAGAAATCTGAAAATGTTAAAATGTCGGTGGTGAAAAAAGTACAGAGCAAAAATACAGTAAATGCTTATAGATGGTGAACAACTTCGAAATTTAAGAAGACGAAGAATATAAACCATTCTCCACAAACAAATCTAGGATAAAAAATCAAAAAGGATAATGAAGAGAAAAAACCAGAAAATAGAATGAGAGACCGTTGTTTCACAAAAAAAAAAAAAAAAGAATGAGAGACCGTTTGAGAAAGAGAAAAATAGAATGAGAGACCGCTGGAGAAAGAGAAAAATTAATCAAAAAGGATAATGAAGAGAAAAAACCAGAAAATAGTACACATTTTATTCTACATGTTTCTGATACTAGCATCAATGAAATCTTACATATCTACGTCCCACTCCACTTGTATTTTCCAAAACATAGGGGAAGAGGAGGTGACTCCAGGGTACTTTCGTCTCACTACTAATTTAGTTAGTCATCTAAATACTAAAAAAAAATACGGTTAATTAACTAATATTGATTTGTTTTATGGTTATAGGATACAATAACTCTTTTAATTAACTAATAAAATAAATATTTAATATTTAATAAATCAAGTAATATAAAATAAATAATGGGATCAGTAAAAAATAACAAGCAACAAGCTAAATAGTTGAAAATAAAAATGAATTTGATATTTGATTTGTATTTCCTAATAATAAAATTCACTTACTTGTTATTCGATTTGATTGTAGTAAATATTTGTTATATAAACCGAATCAAATTAAGAAACAAATACAAACCGAGTATTAAGCATTTGTGCCCAGTCGTTTCTCAGTACGACATAATAAACATCATTCAATTTTTAGGTAAAATCAATAATAGACTGACCTTTTCTCTTGGTATAAAGTGGTAAGCTGAGCTCTCATTAGTCTCCTTGCATCATAATAATAAGAGAAAATAACTAAAATAGACCTAAAATTTTTTTTATCACAAATATAGACATTAACAATTAAAATGACCAAAATAACACTTAAATGTTTTATTAAATCTATATTTATACCCCTTAGGTTAACTAATCCTAGATTTTTTGTTTAGAATTGAGGAATGGGGTTTTGGAGATAGGGTTTTGAATTTAAAAAAATTTAAAAAAAACTAAAAATTTTCAAAATAAAAAGTGTTATTTTGGTCATTTTAATTTTTGAGGTCTATTTTTGTAATAAAAACTTAAAAGAAGACTATTTGAGAGATTTGCCCTAATAATAATTTGAAATGTCAATTTTGAAATATCACAAAGGATAAATCTCCAAAATAGCATTTTTTTAAGTTTATGTCACAAAATAACACTCAAAAATTAAAATAACCAAAATATCATTTTAAAAAAAAAAAAAAATTTCAAAAATTGAAATCTTATCTCCAAAACCCCACTCCCCAACTCTAAACCCTAAAACCTAAATTCTAAACCCTAAACCCTAAACCCTAAACTCTAAACTTTAAACCCTAAATCCCACCCCTTAACTTTAAATCCTAAGATCTGAATTATTTTATCATTAGGATATAAGTATATATTTATCTCTTTTAATAAAATATTAAGTGCTATTTTGATCTTTTTTATTTTTAAATGCTATATTTGTGACAAAAAAATTTTTAGTGTTATTTTAGTCATTTTCTCTATAACAAATACTAATTATTAAAATAAATCTTTTTTTTGATCAAAGAAGAAGAAATCTTTGATTTAAAAGAAGAAGAAAACACAAAGGTCGTCTCAGTCTTCATTGATAAGAGAGAGGAGAGGGAAGGTTCACAATCACAAGAATGAGGAAAACGCCATATCCCAAGCTGCTTCTTCCTCTTCTTCTCCTTTTCGTCCACTTCACTTTCTCATCTTCAACAATACCTCTGGGTTCTGTCCTTTACACATCCGGTTCCAACCAGTCTTGGCCGTCTCCCAATTTCACGTTCTCCGTCTCCTTTCTTCCGTCATCCTCCCCTAACTCCTTCCTCGCCGCGGTTGCTTTCGCAGGAAACATTTGTATATGGTCAGCAGGCAGCGTTGACTCTCGAGGATCTCTTCGGCTTTCCCCCTCCGGCTCCCTCCGCCTCACCAACGGCTCCAACGCCACCGTCTGGGATTCCGGAACCGATGGTCTCGGCGTGGTCTTAGCTTCGATTGAAGATTCGGGCAACCTTGTACTCCTCAACAACAAAAGCAACCCGGTCTGGTCTTCCTTCGATCACCCAACCGACACGATCGTGCAGTCGCAGAACTTCACCGCCGGTAAGGTTCTCCGATCTGGTAACTACTCGTTTCAGCTAGAGGCAAGAGGAAACCTCACACTTAAATGGAACAACAGCACGACTTACTGGAGCCAAGGGCTAAATTCGTCTTTTAGCTCCAACTTGTCGTCCCCTAGCTTGTCGTTACAGACTAACGGAGTTGTGTTGATGTTCGATTCAACTCTTACTGGTGGAGCTGAAACCATTTACAGTGACGATTACGGTGAAGGTAGCAGCAATACGTTTAGGTTCTTGAAGCTAGACGACGATGGGAACCTGAGAATCTACAGCTCTGCGAGTAGAAACAGTGGTCCTCTATCGCCTCATTGGTCAGCTGTTGCTAACCAGTGTCTTGTCTATGGTTACTGTGGGGACTTCGGGATTTGCAGTTACAATGATACCACTCCGATCTGTATGTGTCCGTCTCGTAACTTTGATCTTGTTGATGTGAATGATAGAAGAAAAGGGTGTAAGAGAAAGGTAGAATTAAGTGATTGCTCTGGTAACGCGACCATGCTTGATTTGGGTAACACTAGGTTGATTACAGACCACAATGATCCTAACTCTGAGGTTTTCTTTGCTGGTAGCTCGCCTTGTAGATCCAACTGTCTTGTTAGCACTACTTGTCTTGCTTCTGTCTCCTTGTCTGATGGCTCAGGAAACTGTTGGCAGAAACAACGTGGTTCTTTCTTTACCGGGTACCAGAGCTCATCGCTTCCGTCTACTTCTTATGTTAAAGTGTGTGGTCCGGTGTTGCCTAACAAGCCTTTGGTTGGAACACAAGGTGATGGTAACAACTCGAGAGTGCATTTGTGGGTTGTTGCAGTTGCTGTTGTAGCTGGGTTGCTTGGTTTGGCTGCGGTGGAAGTAGGTCTGTGGTGGTGTTGCTGCAGAAACAATCCAAAGTTTGGAACTTTGTCGTCTCACTACACTTTGCTTGAGTACGCTTCTGGTGCACCCGTGCAGTTTCCCTACAGGGAGCTGCAACGTTGCACCAAAAGTTTCAAAGAGAAGCTTGGAGCTGGAGGGTTTGGTAGTGTGTATAGAGGCGTGCTCTCGAATAAAACCATGGTTGCAGTAAAGCAACTAGAAGGTATAGAGCAAGGAGAGAAGCAGTTTAGGATGGAGGTTGCAACCATAAGCAGTACACACCACCTGAATCTAGTGAGACTAATCGGGTTTTGCTCTGAGGGAAGACACAGGCTTCTCGTATATGAGTTCATGAGAAATGGATCTCTTGATAGCTTCTTGTTTACTACTGACTCAGCGAAATTGTTGACTTGGGAATATCGGTTTAACATTGCGCTTGGGACGGCTAAGGGAATAACTTACCTCCACGAGGAGTGCCGTGACTGCATTGTTCACTGCGACATTAAACCAGAGAACATTCTCGTGGATGACAATTGCACTGCCAAAGTCTCCGACTTTGGACTCGCCAAACTCTTGAATCCGAAAGACAACAGACACAAAAACATGAGCAGCGTTAGAGGAACAAGAGGCTATTTAGCACCTGAATGGCTCGCAAATCTCCCCATAACTTCCAAATCCGATGTCTACAGCTACGGAATGGTTCTTCTAGAAATAGTCAGCGGACAAAGGAACTTTAATGTCTCCGAGAAAACGAACCACAAGAAATTCTCGATATGGGGATACGAGGAGTTTGAAAAGGGCAACACCGAGGCCATCCTTGACAAACGTTTAGGAGAAGATCAAACGGTTGATATGGACCAAGTGAGGAGGATGGTTCAGACAAGTTTTTGGTGCATACAGGAACAGCCATCGCAGAGGCCGACAATGGGGAAAGTGGTTCAGATGATAGAAGGAATCACTGCGATAAATAAGCCACCACGTCCAAAGACCTTAAGCGAAGTGTCGTTTTCAGGGAACAGTGGGAGCACAAGCCACGCGTCTATCTTGGTTGCTACGGGTCCGACTCGGTCATCTTCGTCGTCTGCAACAAGGTCGTTTCAGACAATGGGAATCACGTCGTCTTCCACAAAGATTAGTGAAGGTTCATTGCTCGGATCTTAAAGTGTTGTATTGTGATTATTAATGTGTACATTGTAACTGTGTATAGGACCACAGCAAAGCTATATATATATATATATCTATATATCTATCTATTGTTTCTGAAATAAATGATAAGTTAATGGACCGCTGCTTTCCTACGGATCCTGATTCGCGATTCAAGTGTTCTGCTAATTACATTGTTCTTCCGTTTGAAGGTTCCTAGAGTTTCGAGTTCCAATTCTCAAGGTATCTTCCGTTGGTTTGTGTATGTGCGAGCTTCGAGCTAATTTGGATACTTTCTTCCGGTGATGGGTGGGGGACACAAAGATGTTGATCCTTCTCCAGTGATGGAGACTGAGACCACATCAGAGTCCTTTTCGTTTCCCAATCCGACCATAGCTTCTTCTGTTGGATCTCATCCTCAGAACATTGAGGTTGGGATTCCCCGATTGCAGAGGGTTTTAACTCAGAAATCAAGATCCACTAAGCCTAGGCAAGCTGTTGTGGCAAAGGTAAATATATTGTTAGATTTTGTATTACCTCTTTTAAGGATTTGACTAAGTTGTTTTTGTTTATAGGTTTCGGAAGTATGTTCTCTCTTGGGTAGAGCTGGAACTATGTGACTTGGTAAAGCTGTGTGATAGAACTCAAGTATATTTCTATCAAGAACAGAGGATTACACAAGGATTACAAGCGAAAGCTATCTTGCTCTCTCTCGAGAAGCAAGTCCTAGCCACAAGAGGCCAACCAACTAACTGATTCTCAGTTACAATCCTTCCTCCTATTTATACTCTTTTTTCTCTCACGTGTAACAACTTTATCTTCTTCTTATTTGCAGGTGCTAGCTCATTCCTTCTCACGTGACTACCTCCAGTTCATATCAATACCCCCCTTCTGAAGACTCAGCTTGCCCTCAAGCTGTCATGACATAGCTTCAAATAATGAGGTCTCCATCACGAAATCTGGCTCTAGCACAATGCCTGGTGCCGTAAAGATTACAGACATTGGCTTTGCTTCATCAGGTGGATACATCTGTGGCCTCGATGGGGACTGATGTCATACAATTCATCTGAAAATTGTATAGACAGCACATTGACAAACGTGAGCACAAGTTGTGACATAGCAGAATGATGACCAGAACTTTGAAACATGACAAGCAACGCTGTAGCTCCCTCAGCTTTAAACTCAGTCCGTGTAACAGATTTTGACGCTAGCACAAGTCTCTTTGCCACAGTATTCTCCTCCGCTTTAAATTGTAAATGTGTATTGTTGTTCTGCAGCACCATACTAACTTCTGCACTATATCCACACTGCTTCAACTCACCTGACTGTGGGCTTGTGACTTCACAATTTGCAGGTTCAAGATGATTGTTATACTCCTCTTGGCTCGGCTCAAACAGATAAATCAGTTCTTCGCACCTGTAGTCAGCCATGGTCAACTGATGCAAGTGTCTCTTGGAACTCGTGACAACCAGTGCTTGTGAATCCACCTCCGATAACTCAAGAACAAAAGTTCTATATTTGTCTCCTTGTACTTGAACATCCAACACTTCAAAAACTTCCTTTTCTTTTGTTGTTTTGGACTTGACTTTGTAGCATATGTTTTGATGAAACGTGTTCCACCATTCCAGCATGAGTATTGTAAACAGCTTCAAGTTCTGTACCTTCTCTCAAATAGACGGAATAGACATGGAACACAAGTAAACATCCACCCTCAATTGGTGCTTCATGTAGTGGCTTAATCACTGATATAAACCAAAGTTGTTGCAGGTTTCTGGTCTCTTCATCGGTGTTATATCCAGAAAGTGAGTGAAACTTCTGCATCCACCAAACTGTAATCCAGAAAACGATATTGCATAAGTGCATCACACAAGCACCCTGCATCCCACTGTCAAGTGGTTTATAGAAAGTTGCCGGCAGGTTCTGAAACGCATGCTCATATATATACTTAATTCCTTGTCCCGTTTTGCTTGGAAAGTTATGTACTTTGCTGGCTTTTACAATTCAAAACCACCAAAGCTCAAGAGACTTTGATAAGTATAAGAAATCGTATTTTAGATAGAGGAAGAAGAATGGGAGCAAAGAACATGAGCTTGAGTGTGACGCGGCAAGAGAGGAGGAAGTTTAAATAAGGAGAAAGACTCTATCTGGTTTGGAGGGTTACGATATGAGACGTGGAGGAATAAATGAAGGGAAATATTCTATTTTGATGAGAGGGTTTGAAGAGGGCGAAGACTCTAGTTGTATCAGAGTATTGTCAGTTAGATGACCGTTGTAAGTCTGGAGTATAATAAGCTCGAGAGTGAGTGTAGATCAGTATGCTTGTATTGTTGTATGTAGTTGACTTTATGAGTCTCTACTTCTCAATCGCTATGAGATCGTATACGAGTATCGCAATCGTGATGAGATTGTGATAGGAGTCTAACTTGCAAGCTTTTCATTCAATAAAAGAGTACTTCTTCTGGTTACATTTGAGTTACGGATTTCTAAGATTTATCATTGGTGCGGTGAAACTGTTTCGATCTAACGCGATGAGGTCTCCGGTGGCGTCTCTGACGAGTTCTCAATTTCATCGCGAAGCACAGGAACCTGATACGATGATGAAGGAGGAGGTGGTGTTCTTGTGCGGGGGCTACAACTTACTCATGAATCAAGCGGGGGGAGAACAAACAACGATTCTCTCAGCTAGAGGATCACTTTAAGGAGATCATGACGATGCTGGGGAAAAGACCGATTCAACAGGCAGAAACGTCCAATTATCAGTTTCGTAGAACAGAGCATATGAATCCAACTTCTAAGGAATCGAATCGTAATCTGGAACGAGATCGGGATGTCTCTCCATTAGAATATCGGTATAATCATGAGAATAGATGGAATCATGATAGTTTGGTGGTGAATCGTTATAGTATGGTTAAGAAACTGGAGATGCCTACATTTCAAGGAACGAATACTCATGATTGGATAGTCGATGTGGAACATTTCTTTGCAGTCGGTCAATTTCGAGATAATGAGCGTTTGGATATGGTAGCATTATGTGTAGTGTAGAGGGGAAGGTGAAGAAATGGTTTTCTTGGGCGTTGAAACGAGGTGGTTTCAGGAATTGGTTGGACTTTAAAGAAAAGTTGGTGAAGAGATTTGCTGAGTCTATAGATGACGAACCAGCTACGAGACTGTTTTCACTTAAACAAACGGGGACTGTAGATCCTAAAATCCACACTCAGTATTTTATAGAGATCGAGACTCAATCAGGGGAAGACAAAAGATGTGGGCAACGATTCTCTTAAACAAAACGATATAATCGGACTTCGGTTGATAAAAATGGACCTTTATTGAATATGGAATTTGTTTACAAAGTGATGAACAAGATCGGAAATAACAACAAAAGGTACAAGAAAGCGAACTAAAAATCTATAGAATGAGGTCGATGTGATTAGTGAATAGCTCTAGTTTTTTTTACGTGTGTGTTGCACTCCACTCTAGCTCTCTTTTTATAGTCCCTTCCTCCTCTTAACTGTTTCCGTGATCTCCGGGATCTCATCTCGACCTCGTGGAGTCCGACTCGATGTCGAGTTGGTGATAACTCTAGATGGGCTTGGGCCTGCTCAGATAGGTGCCGAAATAGGGTCCAACATTTGTCTCACAGTCTTATTCTTTTAAAAGATTAAGATGGCAAGAAAAGTTTGATTGCCTCATTGCCTTGAACCGGAGACTGCATTACATCTTTTCTTCCAATGCCCTCTCGCTCAACAGGTCTGGAGCTTGGCTCCATTTAAAGTTTCACCGACCTTCTCGTCTGTGTCATCAATCCACGAAGCCTTTTCTATCATGGCGAATCTCATATGTCTCCCACCCACTGGTATCTCGGATATCTTACTTCATGGTTTTTGTGGGGTATATGGGCAACACGAAACGGATTACTCTTTGAGAATAGAGCTTTATCAGCAAAGGCAACTGTGGAAAAAGCAGTCTCATCTGCTCGGGAATGGCTTGTGGCCCAAGTTCCAGAAGTTGGATCGCTGCATATCACCCCTCCAACAACCATCCAAGCACCTCTTGGTTCAGAGATCGTAAGGTGCAACTCTGATGCTGCCTGGGTTGGTGCTTTGATGTCGGTTCAGGCTCCCACTGGGAGGGATCCCTAGCACTGGAATTTGTCTCCCCCCCTTATGGCGGAAGCGCTGGCTATGAGGGAGGCTATTCGGGAAGCAAAGCGCAAATTCATTACCAGCGTCTGGTTTCGTACCAACTCTCAAGAGCTTTCTAGAGCTGTAAACTCGAAGACATATTCGGTGGAGCTCTTTGGAGTTCTCATGGATATCGAGTATCTATCCTCTTGCTTTGAATCTTTCTTTGTTTCTTTTGTTGGTCGGGACAACAATGTTATTGCTGACTCCCTGGCAAAAGCTGCGATGTTTTCTTTTGTTTCTGCTCTGTATTGACTCCCTCCGTTTAGATCTATAAATCCTTTTGTTGCCCAAAAAAAAAAGAAGATTAAGATGGCTTGCTCGGACTCAATTGATAGAAGGCGGTTTAGCTTCCGCGGCGCAGAAACTCGACACGTGTCTGCTCCCTGTCGATAGACCGTTGGCGTGTGTCCCCAACGGCTACTTGTGCCGTTTTCGATGCAAAACCTAATCATGATCTCCTCGTTAATGATAAAGCTGTTTCTTAGTGTCGGGAATTGTCTTATAAATGCCAAAGGTTTTTCTTCCTCTCCTAACTTCCTTTCTTTCTATCAGGAATTTTCTTTCATTCTCTTCAAAGTTCCTCTTTTGTGTCCTTTTCTCTCTTAAGTAAAGATGGATGTAACATTCACTTTTCCTCTTCCGACGACTACTGCTGAAGATCTTAAAACCTTATACTCGGTTCATGGTGTTGATCGAGATGTCCAGCCCGAACTGGCTACTACACTCGAGACCCTTGAGACCATTCGTGAGGGGTTTTGCGGAGCGTATTTCACGTTCTTCAAATCTTGTGGTTTTTTCTTTCCGATTCCTGCCCCAATTCTCGAAATCACAGCTGAATTGGGTATGTGTCTTACTCAGATGTGCCCAAATTTCGTGAGGCATCTTTTGGCACTTGTGATCATAGTTCGCGAGGAGGGCTTGCGTTTTGGTCTAGAGGAGCTTCGCCAATTGTGCTTGTTGAAGAGGAACAATCAAATCCCAGGGACCTTCCTTTTGTCACTGCGTGTAGGACGCCATGTTATCTAGGGGGTTCCATAACGTGACCAAGTTTGGCGAGAAAAGTTTCTCGTTTTCAAGGTTGATCATTCATCAATAGGTGATTTCGACTTCGCGAGGATTCTTCGACTTTGGTCTGATGACATAGGTCAGTTCTGGTTTTTTTTTATCACATACACTTCTTTTAATCTTTTAATATCTGATTGTCAAATTCGTTTTATGGCTTTCTAGTGCATTCCAGGAACTCTCCAATGTCGGACGAGATTCGAGGTCTGTTGAGGATGTTACAGCGAGATCGCCCTGATCCTTTGACGGCGAGAGAATCCGCGCCACCTTCTTGCTACCTGATGGGACCAATCAGGCTCCGGCGATTGCCAGCCGCTCGATCAGGCTTAAAGATGTCATGGGACCTTCTAATGATCCTTCTTCTTATGCCAGATCGGACAAGCAGTTGGTTAGGAGGTCATCGTTCAGGATCCGGAATCGTGTCTCAGAGAACAGGGATCCCGAGGATTCGACCTTGATCCCTATTCTGGTCTCTGACGTCGAGGGGACCTCTGAAGCAGGAGGATCCCCGATCTTCCTGAGTGCTGACTCAGAGGAGAACTCTGCTGCTAGTGACCATAAGCGTCATCGGTCATCGCTTCGGAGCTGTAATAGATCAGCTTCGAGTTCTTCTCTTCTACCTCCGGCTTCTCTTGAGGAAAGGGAGGTGTATTCCAAGATCGCGGATGCCAATTCCAAGGTGAGTTATATTCTTCCTTGCAGTATTATTTTGCGATCGATCTTGTTCTGATGTTTCTGGTGCTTTGTAGGTTATGGTTGCTTTCGATGAGTTCGTCGCAATGTTCGTGGGTCGCGGCAAGATGGATCTGGCGAGGTCATGGGCTGAGGTGAAGAGTCTCAGAGAATCTCTTCGTAAAGTTAAGGAGGATCTCAAGAAGAAGACCGGAGAATCTGCTTATTTGAAGGACGAGTGGAGGAAGGCCCGTGAAGAAAGGATGGTATTTGAGACCGAGGTCCCCAACCAAAAGACGATAGTCGCAGAATTTCTTGCAGAGAGAGAGAGCGAGACATCCATCGCGAGTCTCATGTGATGCGTCATGAGATCGCCGATCGCTGCAGAGAGATCCTGGCTCTTGTGGAGAAGAAGTGGCTGGACAAGAAGAAGGAGGTCGACGCAGAGATCCAGCTGAGGGAGGTAGTTGCGAACATCGACCTGCTAAATGAGATCAAGGATGGTGGACTGGTCATAGACAACGAGTTGGCTCGTCTCAAAGAGATGGAGAAGGATTGCGAAGGGCTCGTCGAGTTGCCTGCTGTTGCGGATTGGTCCGTCGCAGACCTGGATCTCCCTGAGGTTTCTGGCGATTCGGCTATTGCAGAATCTTTTTCCGAAGATGGAGCTTATTCTTAGTTTTATCTTTTTTTTTTATCTTATCTTTTTTTTTTTTCCTTTTAAATCGGATATCTAGTGTTCTGTTTTTCTTTTCACCTCTTTTTTTATAAAATGCTCTGCGGATAATCACGTATTTATGATATCTAAGTTTTAGAGATTTTATCTCTTTTTAAGTTGGTAATATTCGT